AAATTTGTATTTTCAGTGTTAATGATATTCATTTTTCATGGATTGTGTTGTTTGTGTGAGGATTACTTAAATCAGTTCTGTATTTTAAAGGTTTACTAAGGTATTTCACCTTATTATTTGCCAGTTTGCAAGTTGATAGATTGATGCAAGTTTTTTTTCAGAATTCACTGTGAATTGGCATCTCGAACGATTGTAACAATATCTATGTTCCTTTCGAGGGGTAGGGCCCTTGTCAACAGTAACCTGTCCAATGAAAGTGTGATGTGTTGAATCATGATAAAGTGATAGGGGTACAAGGAGAACAAAAACTTTTTAATTGTGTTGCAAATCGTCATCGATCTGTCATGTCTTGTTTTCGTTATGATTATATAAGTTAAAAAAAAGAAAATGGAAAGCATTATTGTCTTATCGAATATGTAAACTCGTGATAGATTTCAAAGTGAATATTTTTGCATTACCAGAAATGATATATTGCAAAATATTCAAAAAATTGGTTTAGAGGCTGTACCCAGGGTTGTTTTTATGTTCTTTGTAACAAGACCTATTCAATTTAAATATATTAAAGGATTTTTAGAGAAAAACATTAACATTAAAAGGATTGAAATTTTCGACTCAGCCAAACAGGAGTTTGACAGACAACGAATACAAATTACATTGCATCATCAAACTGTTTGAATCACTTCCGTTTTCTCAAAGTCATGTGCCGACGTAAAGCAGAAATTCTACAAAATCCATACAGATTATCTATAGTAATTAATTCAAATCACAAAAGAAGCAAAAATCCAAACCGGAAATGATGCATGTGCCGTTTTCTAAGGGTTGGCGCATTTTCGTAAAATTTTTGTTCACCATTTTATTCGATTTATATATAAATTCAATTTATTTATAATTCAGTTTGAATATTTTGAAAATTTGAAAGGCTATATCTCGTGACATTAATCTTCAATGACCGTGAACTTTTCCGTGTAGGATATCCTTGACTTCAGCTATTTAAATTGTCCATAAACATTGTGATCAGACATCAAGCTTACGTCAAATTTTAATCTAAATTTATCTGGTGTATCTCCTTTAATTACCTTAATAACATCAAGTCAAATTTGACCTCAGTTAACCCTGCAGTAGTATTGTGTTTTGAGTCTTTAAATTATGAAAAACATGAGATACTGAAAATAAATTGAAAGCTGTCAGAATATATATATCTGTTCTAAGCTCCAGAACACTTAAACAGTTCAACTAGAATTTCTGACAACTACTTTCTGACAACAGTGAGCTAAGAATTGAAATTTCAAACATTAAAATAACATTTCCATTTGCATGTCATTTGTCTTTTAAATTTCCGTAAACATTATGATCGGACATCAAGCTTATAATGTCAAATTTTAATTGAAAATTGTATCTGGCGTGTCTCCTTTAATTACCTCGAGTACATAGTGAAAAGTGAAAATTGTCTAAAAAAAAGTGTCCAAAAACCAGCAAAATAATGAACACTTTTTCAAAAATAATAGACACTTTTAACATGGACAATTAGTTTTTACCAAATAATGGACAGTTAGTGAGTACTACTAACAACACTCTTATATTCTACTAGATAATGGGTAAATAGTCCAACTAAGTGAAATTAAATGTGATCAAAACAACTCACTGATCGATTAAGTAACCCTCTCTATTTATTTTTCTGTACACTTTGCGAGAGTGTAATTAAACAAATTTATCAGAGGATTTAAATTTCGTGTTCTATAATGCTAGGTTTAAAAGCACCAGGGACTGGTGATGTATTTTTTCCTACCAGAAATGACGTA